TTTCTGGGGAAAAAAGGAAGAAAAAGTTTGTAGGGCCCTATTGTTCAAAATGTTGAAATTGAGACTTTTGGACTTATTTTTTCACTGAAATAAAATTCCACCGTTACGGATGTGACATTTGCAGTCAAAACCTGAAATAGGTATAAATTATATTTATTACCAATATATTGAACCATCTCTTTATGTTTTTCTAAACCGCTTAAAATAGAGTCCAGACATCCGAAAAGTATCAATCTATAAACATGTTTGTGTTATATTTTAAATAAGGGAAAAACACATGCGTTATGGACGTGACAACAAATAAAGAGGCATGGACGAGTTTCTGGGAGACAACATAGGCTATTTTGTTTACAGTGCACAAACCAGAAGCAACAAATATCTACCGAATGGAGAAGGGTTGGGTATTTACAAAGCAAACAATATCAATTTTGTTTAAATTTTCGTTTTTGTGTTTCACAGGAAAAATCAATGTTACGCACGTGACATCTCTCCATTACGGACGTGACCGTTCTGAAAGCGGAATTTATCCGACTATGAAAACGGCTATAAAAATGCTTTAAAATTTTAACAGAGACGTCTAGTGGGTATTTAATAGGGCTGCCCCCCACTAAAGATTTTTCTAGACTCAAGTCGTTCGTCTAAGCCATTAGGCTATTCAACTAATCGCGCATTTATATTAAATCAATAGGCCTACTAATCCATAATGAGCATCAATATTCTGCGCTCAAGCACAAGTATAAAGTTTGCCACAAAGCACAGGCAAAAGTAGCCTAATGATTATTAATGTATAGAAAAAGGAGACATTTTAATTATTTATTAATAAACTAATGTTTTCTTCTCGGCTGCAAGATGAAATTCACGGTTCTGACTCTCATCTCTATAGCCTACTGGACGCGCCTTTAGAGAGAAATGCAACCTTCATACATAATCAGGGAGTGTTTAATTTTGTTTTTAATTGGTTCATTTAAAAGTAGACATTTCAACATTTATATAGATATATTTCTCTATGTGAGAGACACATTCTGAGTTTTGGTTCTTTTTGGAGACGCGCTCCAGTTCACAGAAAGAGAGAGAGATGGCAGAAGCCATCCTGTTTGTTTTGGTTATTTTACAAAAGCACAACAGTTTTGTTGTTATTATGAATTTACATAAATAAAATCAGTTTCGAATTGATTTTAAGTTGTTTCATTATTAGGAAAAAAAATGCAAGTGATCGCGCGGGCGCCTCCCTTTTTAATGCATGCGCATTAATATTCTGCACAAACATTTGAACACGGGCCAAAAATATAGCACATTTATAGCCTATAGGTTAATGCTAGAGTTTGTAATCCACATTCAAATAAATCCTCACCAGTCTACATCCGAGACAGATGCAGTTATAACCTATAATTTGAAGGCTATTTGATGTTTTAAAATGATCTAACTGACCAACGCCGCTCCAATTCGTTGATCATATTGTTGATCAAGATTAAACGGATGCCGCTGAAAAAATTTTTAATAACTTGCTTATGCATTAAATAACTGAGATGCAAAACAGGTTAAGTAAAATATTCTAAATATATGATAGGCCTTTTGAACAAATATATACGAATTTATACGACTAGGAAATGCGTATAAAATGCTTTAAAAACTTTAGCAGAGATAGAGGGTATTTTAATAGGGCTGCCCCCCACTAAAGGTTTTTCCAGTTAGTAGTCGTTCATTTAAGCCATTACTAATCGCACGTTTATATTATATTAACATAATACTCCATAATTCCGCACTCAAGTACACGCATAAAGTTTGCCACAAAGCACAGGCAAAAGTAGCCTAATGATTATGAATAAAGGAGACATTTTAATTATTTATGAATAAAATAATGTTTTCTGAGTCCTTGTCGGCTGCAAAGATGAAATTCATGAAATCTCCAGTGGACGCGCCTTTAGAGAGAAATGCATTCACAGATTACATAATCAGGGAGTAGGCCTAGTCTATTTGATTTCATTTTGAATTGGTTCGTTTGAAAGTAGACAAGCTTTCTTTAGATATATTTCTCATGTAGCCTATGTAAGGCACTCCAATTTTAAGTTGTTTCATTATCAAGAAAAAAATACAAGTGATCGCGCAGGCTCCTCCCTGTCATGCTTGAGCATTCATTCTTTTCCGCACGAACATTTGAATAGGAATAATAGACTAGAGCACATTTATATTAGGTTAACGCTAGAGTGTGGGATCCGCATTAAAATAAATAAAATAATTAATAAATAAAATAGATGCAGTTATAACCTGCAAATTGAAGGCTATTTGACGTTTTAAAATGATCTAATAACAGGCCGATGCTGCTCCAATTCGTTGATGTTGTTGATCAATATTAAATTGTCGCAGTCATAAGCTTGTTTTAATGACTCATAAATGTGTTTTAATAAATCGTTATGCATTAAATAATAAAGATACTAAACGGGTTAAGTTAAATATGCTGAATATATATTGTACAAATATTTATAAAAAGTTAGACTGCGAATAAGATTACAGCTTCACATTTTGCATCTGCATAACATAGTCTCACTCAGCAGCATGCGTGCCGAACACGCAAAATCTTGCTCTCTGCTTGAAAACATTATGACATTTGAAAACGTTTTGTCGATATCTACTTCCAGAGTTTAGCTCCAACCTTGATCAAACATACTGTGTTTTGTAATTACACAGAGAGTAAAGTACCGAAAAAAGGTCACTTTTTTGTTATATTCTATTAAATATTGTGTAAATGTTTTTTATTTAATTTAATCAGTTTTGTATGTCATTATATTATATTACAGATTTATCTATTTGTATTATATTCGGTATCATCCACCCTGCTCTCTAAATGTCATAATGGATCGGTCATTAAAAAAATCCATATTGTTCAACCTCTACTTACAACAGTTCATAACAAAGCAAGTGTTCTTGGGGTTCCCTGATAAAAAAGGAACAGCATATACAACTCATATGTGCAGTAATTCAGAAAGTGTACTAAACAGAGAGCAGTCTGGACATAAGTTTGAAATGTACATAATGGAATACAAAGATAAGAGCACTTTGAGTGCAACCTGAAAAATCCATCTTGAGAGAAGAGCTCTATTTCAGTCTATTAGAGTGATGGGTGTGATAAGTGCATATTGCTGGTGACTTGACTATGTGTGAGTGTTTGCATGCGATGGAATAATACCGGCTCTAGAGGAGACCATTAACTCTGACATATTCACAGTCCCAGCTGAGCAAGTAATCACATGTACAAGCTCACTACTTCATTTCCATGGAAAAATAAATTATTGATTCTCGTTAAGAGATTGATATGGCACCCCAGAGCTACAGGAAGAGAGACAGGTGTGATTTCTTACCCTGCTTGAGCAGCTTGGACTTAGGCTTGCAGCATTGGATCTGCTCTTCCCTGGAGCTCCTATCTGGAAGACTGGATCGATCAGGGCTAATTAGCTGGGGCTGTGATTCTCTCTCTCAGGGCTTCAGCTCTATTTGTGCATGAATTGAATACTTTATTTATCTTGTTTTGCGGTTTTCTCATTCTTACAAATGGAGAGGCAGAGTTTGGGGAGAGGAAGAAAGAACATCAGTCACACTTTTTAGAAATTTAACAGACATGTGAAAGTATAGAGAGAGTGAGAGACTACAGTTTAGATGATTTTTTAGAGAGAAAAAACTGTTAGCCTTTATTATCGTATTTCTTGAAATTTTATAATATCCTTGATTCTGTTATTTTCCACTTTATTACTGTGAAGTTGCTTTGAAACAATCTGTATTGTTTAAAGAACTTTATCTAGATAATTTGACTTTACACAATTACAGACTCTGGAGTTTCTGTTCTCACAACTGTCAAACCCAGGTGCATGTGTGCATTTGAATTTTTATGGTTTTAAAGGGGTCATATGATGCTATTTAAATTTTTCCTAGCTCCAACCTTGATCAAACATACTGTGTTTTGTAATTACACAGAGAGTAAAGTACCGGAAAAGGTACCGTTGGGTACCGGCACCGAAATTCAGGTACCGATACTGGTACCATACCGGTTAAAATGTGAACAGTACCCAACCCTACTTAACACAGCCTGCTGCTGCATCAAGAAATGCAACTTGTAACACTGTTACTTTAGGAGAAAGCTATACATCAATTCTATGCAGTGATGCCACCAGGGTTCTCTGGGCCAGAGCTCATCTCAGATAGTCAAAAAGACTAAGTGAAAATGTGTGCTGTATTCAGATGAGTCCACATTTTAAAAAATGGAATTTCTAATAATAACTTTGATGGTTATTATATAATTACAGAATAATTATTATAGTTCCCTCTTGAGTCGATTACAAAATAAGACTTTGTCTATGTATTATTATTATATATATATATATTTTTTGCAAGGAATTATTTTCTTATCTCTTACTTTGAATTTGCTATAAGAAATCAAATACACAGCTGGACAATAATCAATCATTTGTAATCTATCATTTTTTCCTAATGGCAATTTTATGATTGTTCAAACAAAACAGTCAATGAAGACGAAGAAGAGAATGATGTGTAGCTCCCGGCGCCTATTTATACTATAGTCGCACCGGTAGTGACGTCATGGTTGTCGCCGGCCAACGAGTTGGTGTTTTTTCAATGTATGCTTCAGACACGGGTCACGACGAGGCGTTCCCCCATAGTGACCCCTAGAGGACGCAGTTCGAAGTTCCCATGAAAGGGAACTCCCTTGCCATTGGTCAGTTTTTCGTGGGCAAGCTCACTACTGTAAATTGATTTACAGTAGTGAGGAAATACAGTAGTGACCGTATATTTTCCCATAATCCTTTGCGGTTTACAGTAAAATACTGTATACACATTTTACAGTATCTTACTGTACATATTACAGTATAATACTGTTCAAATTACAAAAATCAGTTACAGTGTTCTTTTTAGCAACGTCAGATGACCCCTTTAAACAGGTTGACTCTGTCTGTGCTACATCATTTAAAATTTAATTATTTCTTCTCTTTCAGATTCCAGAGGAGCATGATTTGGAGAGTCAGGTTCGTAAGGAGAGAGAGTGGAGATTCTTACGCAACGCACGAGTACGCAGACAAAGCCAATGCATCACTCAAAGAGGTACTGGTTTCCAACTGTCAAACTGCATGAAATTGCTGTCTCAATTTAGCCAGTTCTAGTCATATATGCTCATAACATATACATATATTTAGCAAAAGTTGCAGATGCTAATATCATTTCACTCAAGTCTACAGCAGGAATGTTTCTAGCCTTTCATCAATACTGGGCCACAGACCACCCCAAAAAATCAAAAAAGTGTCCCCAATTTATTTATTTATTTATTTTTTATATTTCAGTGGATATAGCATCTAAAAATAGAACTTGCGATATAACTTAGTATGTTTAAAGGGCTGTCATTTAATCAATATTTATTTTTAGTAATATTTTTTGGGGGACAGTGTTATTTCACTGGGGCTTGTGACCCAGCAAAAAGGGTCTAGCGACACCCCTGGTCTGCAGTAAACCTTTATCAGGAATGCTTTTAATCTCTGTACATTAGATCTTTTTTATATAATGTGGATTTCACAATAATAATTTAATGATAAAATAATATAAATGTAATGTGGATTTCACAAGTGGAACTGGGTGAGCCAGTTATATGCTGTAGTTTTTGTGTGTAAAAGCCCCAAGCTTAAAAGAAAGCAATGTGCTTGGCTCCCTGTCTGAAGTCAGTGGAGTCTCAGACGGAATGGCTAACATGCTTACGTCAGTGCCGGCACGCATACACGCAAGTGCGCAGGACTGATTGCGTCAGAGCAGAGGATCCTGCTCACTCTCGTGTGTCTTTCTCCTTTCATCACTCTCTCCGCCATCCTCCTCTCTGAAGTCGAGAGTGGGGCTGCCCTCATTCAGTCTAGCTGGAGGAACTGAATCAAATCCTGAATTCCCTCTGAGTTCCCTTCATGCATATTTTTTCTCTGATCTGCAATTCTCACACTGAAGTTCAGTAGTGTCACCCTTATTCATTTTCCTCAAAAACTTGTAAACCAAAAGACTGCTGTGGTCATTAGTAAAGCTCAAAATTTCACTAATTAAACCTGTTCTTAACTGATCTATCCCTCTTGTGGTTTTAGGAGTGACACGGTTAGATGATCAGATCTTCATTAACAGAAACCCAGGTGTTCCATCAGTGGTGAAGTTTCATCCATTTAACCCCTGCATCGCTGTAGCTGATAAAGACTCAATCTGGTGAGTGACAATAACATACACAACCACATTCATCTACAACCAAAACTCTTTGAAAGAGAAGCATGCATAAGCAAGCATAAGACCATAATAACATTTGGATTTTGGATACCACTTTTCACAGTACTGCACGTAGAACAATATAGTTTCCTTTTCTCATAATAACTTAAAAAATCTCTAATGTTGTTTTTTGTCACAACAGTTATGCTTTATTTTCACATTCCACCATTTCTGTTTGTATTTTTATTCCTGTATATCACTAGATTTTTGTAGCATGTTTTTGTAAACCTGTTGTTTTCTGCCAAATTAAAAGCTTGAGGGTTTAACTCTTTTAAGTGAAGAAAAAGAAATGAAGACAGCATTGTCATTTTACTACTGTAGTATGAAGTAAAATAATATACTTAAAGTAACCAAGATCAGTCCCCCATAGTCTCACAAAATTCTATGGGAAACACTGTAGAATGTGGTTTGTTATAAATCTCCTAATGACCATGGGATGCCATATTTAGGCTATCTTTGCCCCCTCTTCTCTGTTACAACTTGAGAATATGAGTGTGCCAAGACAGATATTTTAATACTGTCCGTTTTAAACCTCATTTATAAAAATGCTCATGGAGTTTTAAAGTATGTGAATCCATTTTTTCCCCTTATCAAATTCAGTTCAAAACACTGATTCGGAGAATTTTTATTTTTTTTGTCATCACTCAGAAATGTTCAGGCCATCTCTGTTGTGTTGTACATGCTTAAAATTGAAAATATAAGAGGTAAATATTGCCGTTTGTTACCATGTATTGGTACATTGTTGCAAATAAATAAAAATGACTAAATATAACTCATAAATCATGCCCTGATTATTATATTATTAGATATAGATATAAATCATGCCCTGATTATTTTTTAACAAAAGTTAGCAATATTGGCCAGCCATATTGCTCATATGTGTAACCTATATTGTAACATATATTTTCAGATATGTGATTTTTCGGATTTCCTTATTTTCCAACCTCTGAGGGACGACCCATGTGATTCGCGTAGATCCGTTTTTAATTTTATTTTATTTTTATTTTTTTATTTTTTTGTGGGGGTGGGGTTGGTTACTAGATGATGATTGAATTTGCGCAAATGGCCTTAAGCTATTAAATAAACTGCGAAAACATCATGGACGGAATGGTCCTGAGAGCCCTGCACGAGCTCGCGGCGCCATCTGCAGGACAGTTAAAAGCGTTCAAATGATTCAAAGCGCCAAACGCGTGTAGAATCAGCGCTGAAACGTGTTACTCATAAAAGCTGTCATAAAATTTGCAACGGTTGTGATGTAATTATATAATAGGCTGTAGTCTAACGCGCAACATGTCTGCTGTTAGAGTACTGTTTTTAGTTTCGATTCACGATTAGTGCTAGCTGCGCTTGGTTTGAGCCGCTTTAATTTGCATTTGGGAACGCAACATTCGTCATTAGAAACGTTTCTAAATCTGCTTTTGTTTACAAGAAGTTTCAGTGTCGCATAATCCTTCAGAAATCATTCTAATATGCTGATTTGCTGCTCAAGAAACATTTCTCATTATTATCAATGTTAAAAACAGTTTTGCTGCTTAATATTTTTGTGGAAACAATGATGACACAAACATTTGTATAAGTATTTTTTTTTAAAGAGAGAGCAATTAATAATTTTATTCATCATGCATGAAAGTGATAAAAATGAGTGAAGACATTTAAAATGATTTCTATTTAATAAATGCATTAACAAATTTAATTAATAGGCTATATTTGATAAATGCAAATAAATGCTGTTCATTACACTTTATATTTATCAAAAAATCCTGAAAAATAAAGTGTATCACCATTTCCGCTCAAAATATGAAGCAGCAAAATTGTTTTCAACATTGATAATAATCAGAAATGTTTCTTGAGAGTCAAATAAATTGTAATAATTTCTAAAAGATCATGTGACACTGAAAACTGGAGTAGCCTAATG